CCTTGGGGTTATCCTGCACTTGGAAGAAGAAGTAGAAAAAGGAATAAATATAGTGAGAATTTGATTCTTCGTCGTCGTAGTAAATAGTAGAGAAAATAGAATTTGTTTCTTCGTCTTTACAAAAAAACAAAAAAAAAGGAGTAATTAACTGTGACACGTTCACTAAAAAAAAATCCTTTTGTAGCAAATCATTTATTAAGAATAATAAATAAGCTTAACGCAAAAGGAGAAAAAGAAGTAATAATAACTTGGTCCAGAACATCTACCATTATACCCACAATGATTGGCCATACCATTGCTATCCATAATGGAAAAGAACATTTACCTATTTATATAACAGATCGTATGGTAGGTCATAAATTGGGAGAATTTTCACCTACTCTAAACTTCCGAGGACATACAAAAAATGATAATAGATCTCTTCGTTAACATTAATAACGAACGATAAAATGAAAATCATATAATTTATATATTTGAATTTATATATATATATAAGAAATAATCTATATATTAACAAATAAGATTTATATTTCTAATATAAATGTTTATAAATGTTTATTCATTTTTTAGTGAAAATCGAATTTTATGATAAAGAAGAACCAATATATAGAAGTATAATCTTTTAGTCAAAAACGATTCATATTTGTTCACAACATAAAGCACGAATACTAATATTAATTGATTAGATTTGTGCATAAAGAAAAGGTTATGTGTCGTAAAGTTATACTTCATTGAGTTGAATATCGTATTCAATATTTTGGATTGGTTTATTTTGCAATAGCAAATGCTAGTAACAATGTAAATTTCAACAAATTAAGTCAATGATTTATAAAGAAATATTAAAAAAAAAAATACACAAACAAATAAGACGTATCATTTTTATGTATAGTAGTGGAGAATTATGGGACAAAAAATAAATCCGCTTGGTTTCAGACTTGGTACAACTCAAAGTCATGATTCTCTTTGGTTTGCACAACCAACAAATTATTCCGAGAATCTACAAGAAGATAAAAAAATACGAGATTGGATCCAAAATTATATACAAAAAAATATTAGAATATCCTCTGGTGTTGAAGGAATTGGACGGATAAAGATTCAAAAAAGAATCGATCTGATTCAAGTCATAATCTATATGGGATTTCCAAAGTTATTAATAGAGGGTAAGCTGGAAGAATTACAGACGAATATGCAAAAAAAACTGAATTGTGTGAACCGAAAACTTAACATTGCTATTACAAGAATTGCAAATGCTTATAAACATCCTAATATTCTTGCAGAATTTATAGCCGGACAATTAAAAAATAGAGTTTCGTTTCGTAAAGCAATGAAAAAAGCTATTGAATTAACTGAACAAGCAGGTACAAAAGGAGTGCAAGTACAAATTGCGGGACGTATCGATGGAAAAGAAATTGCACGTATCGAATGGATCAGAGAAGGTAGGGTTCCTCTACAAACCATTCGAGCTAAAATTGATTATTGTTCCTATACAGTTCGAACTATTTATGGGGTAATAGGTATCAAAGTTTGGATATTTATAAACTAAAGAATAACCAATTTTTCCTTATCTTTAAGGTTTCATGTTTCAATAAAACAAAAAATTACAAACTATTTCATTTTTATTCCAAAACAAAAAAATGATAAATTTTATAAGATTGAATTGAATAAAAAATTCAATTAATCATTTGATATTGATATAATTGCTATGCTTAGTGTGCGACTCGTTAGTTTTTTTAGAATGCTTAAAATTCAACAAAAAAAAAAGAAACCAACTCATAATATGAATTAATTAAAAAGAACTAATAACCAACTCATTGCTTCGGATTATCTAGATTTAAAGAAATAGTCAAAACAAAAAAATTAAATAAAGATATGATATATTAGTAATATAATTATAGCAACTCAAATATTGCAGAAAAAACAAAAAAAAAAATGAATATGATTATGAGTTGTAAAGCAATAAAATAAAAATATACAGATAAATGAAGGGGTGAAAGAAAGAGAGAAAAAAATCTATGATATAGAATTCTAATATGTAAAGGTCTATGGGTCATCTCATAAAAAGCAGTGTAATAAAGCATCAATAGGAATTAATCCATATATAAATGGATATATTCATAACACAAACAAATCAAGAGCTCCGAATCAATAAAAACTGAGAAGGTTGATTCAAGAAAAAAGAAATAGTATTTAAAAAAAATCTTATAATTAGAGAGGCTCCGTTGTAGAATTCAGACCTAACCATTAATTGAGAAGCGATGGGAACGACGAAACCTGCGAATATCTAAGATTTTTTTTAAACAAATCTTAATGATTCATTAGGTGGGATGGCGGAACAAACCAAAAAAGAATCCATTCTTTTTTATTGAGGAATTATGCCCTACATTCCATCTGAATTTGGTAATAAAAGAGTGAATTTTCGCCCGCGAAAATTTGTATTTTATTGAATTTTTTTATTTTTGCCAATCCGATATGATACGATATGATAATAAAAGAAAAAAGAAAAATAGAAATAAGGATTCGTTAGAATATTATAAGATAACAAAACAATATTATTTAGTTATATACAGATAGCAAAAATTGTCTTAAATTGTCTATAAGAATACATATTAAGTTATATATCAAAACAAGATATACAAATTTCCAATAGACTAATAGATTCTATGAAATCTCAAAAAATCCCGCGATTCTATTATTCATTAAACATATGTATATTAGTGTATATTATTTTATCGATTAAATCGATTTATATATATATATTATTGGAATCGTTTCATTCGCGAGGAGCCGTATGAGATGAAAAATCTCATGTACGGTTCTGTAATAGAGATGGAATTGAGAAACAACCATCAACTAGAACCCCAAAAGAACCAGATTTCGTAAACAACATAGAGGAAGAATGAAAGGAATATCCTATCGAGGTAATAATATTTGCTTCGGAAGATATGCTCTTCAGGCACTTGAGCCCGCTTGGATCACGTCTAGACAAATAGAAGCGGGACGGCGAGCAATGTCACGAAATGTCCGACGAGGTGGACAAATATGGGTACGCATATTTCCAGACAAACCAGTTACAGTAAGACCCACCGAAACGCGTATGGGTTCGGGAAAAGGATCTCCCGAATATTGGGTATCTGTCGTTAAACCTGGGAAAATACTTTATGAGATGGGTGGGATATCAGAAAATATAGCCAGAAAGGCTATTTCTTTAGCAGCCTCAAAAATGCCTATACGAACTCAATTCATTATTTCAGGATAATAATGAAAACCAAAGGAAAGAGGGCTTTAGGATGAAAACATAAAAATGCAATTGTAAGTTCCTTATTTTTGAACACAGAATATTTTTTTTTACTTCAATCTTTGGACTGAAAGAACAAAAAAATGATATGATTCAACCTCAAACCTATTTGAATGTAGCTGATAACAGCGGAGCCCGCGAATTGATGTGTATTCGAATCCTAGGAGCTAGTAATCGACGATATGCTTATATTGGTGACATTGTTGTTGCTGTAATCAAGGAAGCAGTACCAAATATGACCTTAGAAAGATCAGAAGTGATCAGAGCTGTAATTGTACGTACTTGTAAAGAACTCAAACGTAGCAACGGTATACTAATTCAGTATGATGATAATGCTGCAGTTGTCATTGATCAAGAAGGAAATCCAAAAGGAACTCGAATCTTTTGTGCAATCGCACGGGAATTGAGACAGTTAAATTTCACTAAAATAGTTTCATTAGCACCCGAGGTATTATAAAATTATAAGGCAAAACCGTGATATGGATATATTTGTTTTGTAATGAAAATGGATTAATTAATATATTATATCTCACACATATCCCTTTTGTAGTAATTATTCTAAGTATTAGAAATAACAATTATTATCTATTTCATATTAATATTGGATGATCTAAATGAAATATATTGGATGATCTAAATGAAATAATGAAAAAAAAATAGAAAAACGAGCATGTTGATTATATTGAAAATAAGGAGCAACAATCATTTTCGTTTATCATGAGTAAGGACACCATCGCTGACATAATAACCTATATACGAAATGCTGATATGAATAGAAAAAAAATGGTTCAAATACCATTTACTAACATCACCGAAAACACTGTGAAAATACTTTTACGAGAGGGTTTTGTTGAAAACGTCAGAAAACATAGGGAAAGCGACAAATATTATTTAGTTTTAACTCTACGGTATAGAATAAATAAGAAAGGATCATATAAAAGTTTTTTAAATTTAAAACGGATCAGTACACCTGGTCTGCGAATATATTCTAATTATCAACGAATCCCTAAAATTTTAGGAGGCATGGGGATTGTAATTCTTTCAACTTCTAGGGGTATAATGACAGATCGAGAGGCTCGATTAGAAAAAATAGGCGGAGAAATTTTATGTTATATATGGTAATCTTTCTGAAATACGAATTAGATGAGAAATTTCTATCCATTTTTGTCAAAAAGAGAGAGAGAAAACACAGATTTAGAATATCACCCACCCCTCATATACTAGTGAATGTGCGAAGGGGGTTTAA